TATGCCAGAGTTTTCAAGGTTGGCTTTGAGCCCATCTTTAAATCTCTTTTCCTGACCTCCAGCATTCCGTTTTCCGTTCTTGAGTTCGGAAGCTGGTCCAGCAGAGTTGATGGGGAGGACCATGGAGTCAATGCTGGTGGTCTTTGCTTTTTCCAGCACTCTGACATTTGTCCACTTGTCTTCCCAAGAGATTTGCAGGATTTCCCCGGAGACAGTACTGATGATGGAATCGTTTCAGGAGTTGAGTGTGATGTTTGTAGATAGTTCAGGTTTCACAGGCATATAACAGGGTTGGGAGGACAATAGCTCTATAAACAAGCACTTTGGTATCCCTAGGGATGTCCCTGTCTAGGTCCTCAAACACTGTCTGCTTCATTTGGGAAAATGCTGCACTCGCAGAGCTCAGGCGGTGTTGTATTTCAGTGTCACTGTTGATTTTGGTGGGGAGGTGGCTGCCAAGGGAGCGGAAATGGTCAACGTTTTCTAATGTTAAACTAAACAGCACTCCAGTCAAGCGGATACATAGAAAAGGCTCGGAGAAGCCCTCTCCAAGGAGTGTTGTTGAACCACTGCGTTTGGACAGTGGATGCCCGTTTCCCCCTCTCTTTGAGGAATCTGATCCCAGGGAGGGAAGCTTTTGCCTCGACCTCCGCAGAGCCAGAAGGACGTCAAGCCTGGCCCTCTTCGTGAAATGCGTGGTGCTTTTAACCCCCCTCTGTGTCCCAGTCATGATGTCTCGCTGTCGTCGTTTCCCCAGAAAGCATCCCGTTTCCCCGCCCTGTCCACGCGAGGCCTGCTCGAGCTGCAACCCACCCGCCCGCTCTTGATAGCCACGGCGCCTCTTCTCACCAGTTGCCTGCCCGCTCTCTTCTGACGCAACTTGCGCGGAACCCAAAGCCCAACTTTGTTTTCATTGGTGCATAAATTAATTACGCGCATTTAATAACCCCAATATCATTATAGTCCCCCTTTAATCTCGTAAAGGCTGCCCGCCAGGGAGGCACTTGAAAGGGCAGGGGGCCCGTCAGCGGCGATTACCCCGCCGTCGTGCTATTAGGGAGCCCATTAGGCGCCATTACCGCCCCCTCCCCTCCCCGCCCGGCGCACGGCTCCTCCTGGCTGGCGAATTTGGAACATGTCACCCGGGCGCTCTGAAGGCTCATTTTGGGCCGGGCCCGCGTCTCGGAAGCCCTTTAAAAAGTAATTGCGAAAGGTCCCCGCGCATCTCATTTGGAGGCGGGGAACGCGGCGCAATCCGGGGAACCCCCGCTGCGAACAAAATCAAACTCCGCTTTGGAAAAGCGAGGCGGCTTCTGGAAGGGCCTCCGAATGGGCCATTAGCGGCAGGCGGCGGAGAGGCAGGCCCAGGCCGGACCCCCTCCCTCTCCCCCTCCCTCCTCCCCTGCCTCCTGAGGGGGAGGGGGAGCATCCCCAGAATGGGACGGGGCCTCCTCCCTGCCCGCCCGCCTTGGTTCGCCTTCCTGGGGTTGACTGAGAAATGACGCGCCTTTCCTCCCTCCGCGCACCACGTGGGCCATTGGGAAGGCCCACTAGACCTATCCCAAGTTCCTCACTGTCGACGGCGCTGGCAATAATCAGATTAGGGCCAATTACGCGTGAGATTATAAAAGGCAGGGCGGCGAGGAGCGCGCGCCGCTTGGAGAGGAGTGCAGGCAGCTTCGCCAAGGAAGCAGCAGCAGCAGCATCTGCCCAAGGCCCCGGGGTTGTGCTGCCCACGACGGAGGAGGACCTGCCCCACTTCCCTGTCTAAGGTAGGGACTCATCCTCATCACCATTCGTGGGTGGTTTCAATGGGGGTTCTTCCACACAGCCCTCTATCCCAGAATACCAAGGCTGGAAGTCCCACATTATCTGAATGTGGACTCAGATCACCCAGGGCCCTTCCACACAGCCTTCTATCCCAGATTATCAAGGTTCAGAATATCTGAGTGTGGACTCGGATGGGGCCCTTCCACACAGCCCTCTATCCCAGAATATCCAGGCAGAACATCCCACAATATCAGCTTTGGACTGGGGTCCCAGGGCCCTTCCACACAGCCTTCTATCCCAGAATATCAAGACAAAAATCCCACATTATCTGAGAATAGGGATGTTTGGAAGGGCCCCCAGTTAAAGCAGACATTGTGGGATTTTCTGCCTTGATATTCTGGGATAGAGGGATGTGTGGAAGGACCCAGGGATCCAAGGCCCCTTCCACACAGCCCTATATCCCAGAATATCAAAACCCCACAATATCTGCTTTGAACTGAGATATATGGCAGCGTGGACCCAGCTAACCCGCTTCAAAGTAGATATTGTGGGATTTTCTGCGTTCATATTCTGGGATAGAGGGCTGTGTGGAAGGGCCCTGGGTTAATCTGAGTCCACACTGCCATATATCCCAGAATATCAAAATCCCACAATATCTGCTTTGAACTGGGATATATGGCAGTGTGGACTCAGCTAACCCGGTTCAAAGCAGATATTATGGGATTTTGATATTCTGGGATTTAGGGCTGTGTGGAAGGGCCCTCGGAGAGGTGGGTGGCGGCTTTCTCTCTTCGGGAAGGGTGACACAGGACTTCCCTTTTCTCGCCCTCCCACAAGATTAACCTCTTTTGGAAAAGGGAACCCTTCAAAAACGAAATACTTGGATTGAGATCTACGTCCCCTTCCACACAGCTGTATAAAATCCCAAATAATAATAATAATAATGTGTCCGACGAGTGATCCAATACAACAGCCAGCAAAGTGATCTTGTCTGCTGTGGACACGTCTTGTTGTGTTTCAAATATTAATAACAACTTGTAATATTATTATATATTATAAATTATTATAACAACTTATTATCATTTAACTCAGGGGCGGCTTACATGGGAACCAAGCCCAGCAAAAACAGAAGCAACATATAGCACAGTTAAAATACATTGCATTTCAATAATTGAAACAACTATTGATCTACTTGGAACTGGGTTATGTGGCAGTGTGGACTCAGCTAACCCAGTTCCAAGCAGATATTGTGGGTTTTTCTGCCTTGATCTTCTGCTGAGTGGAAGGGCCCTGGAATATATGGCAGTGTGGCATCAGATAAGACAGTTCAAAGTGGATATTGTGGGTTTTTCTGCCTTGATCTTCTGGGTTATATGGCTGTCTGGACGGGTTGTAGACTGCCCTATATATATCTCAGGATTAGATCCCAGATTATCTGTTTCAAACTTCATCATATGAATTGCCGAAGGCTTTCATGGCCGGAATCACTGGGTTGTAGGTTTTTTCGGGCTGTATGGCCATATTCTAGAGGCATTCTCTCCTGACGTTTCGCCTGCATCTATGGCAAGCATTCTCAGAGGTAGTGAGGTGAGTCTACACTGCCAGATAATCTGGGACCCGATCCTGGGATGCAAGGCAGTGTGGATCCAGCTTTAGATGACTCATCAGCTCCTCCTCAAACTCAGTTTGCGGGTAGATACTCAAAATCCGCGCCCTTCTTTGGTGAAAGTGGTTTTAACCCACTTCTATACTATAATCCGGCGATTTAGGGGGTTTTTTCTCGTGTTAGGAACGACTTGAGAAACTGCAAGTCGCTTCTGGTGTGAGAGAATTTGCCGTCTGCAAGGACGTCACCCGGGGACTCCCGGATGTTCTACCATCCTGTGGGAGGCTTCTCTCATGTCCTCGCATGGGGTGCTGGAACTGACAGACGGAAGCTCAACCCGCTCCCTATATTCAAACAGCTGCCCTGTCAGCACAAGGGTTTAACCCATTGGGGGGCATTGAGTGCAGCTTATTTTCCACCATTGGACCCCATTTCTAACAAGCCTCCGCTGTTTGTTCCAGCTGCTTCCTCTTCTGCTGCTCTTCCTCTCGGCCCGGTCATGTTTTATTTCCACTGCCCCCCGCAACTCGAAGGTGAGTGTAGCCACGGCGCGGACACGTAAGTAAGGAGCGGGTTTTGGCGCCGCGTGCGACGGGGCGGGCGCGCCTTTCAGAGAGGCAAAGGGAAAGAGAGAGGAGCTGTATGCGCGGCCTTTTTTTCCCGGGGGCCTTGGCCACCTGCCTGCCTCTCGCTGCCTCCCCCCGCCTGCACAGATGGCCCCGTTCCGCCTCTAATCGGGGAGCCCCTCGCAGGAGTCGCCCGCGGGCAGCAGCATACATCTTCCACCCCTCCGCCGCCGCCGCCTTTGCAAAGACGCGCTTCGACGTTGCTTGCTCGTCCTCTCCCTCAACGAGTTTAGCCCGTCAACAAGGAAGAAGAGGCGCTTCCCAGGGCAACCCAGCCTCCCCCAATGTGTGTCAATGGGTCTCCTTCGCGCTCGAGGAAGGGTGACTCGGAGGACCATTCGGAGGCCAGGTTTCCGCCCGCCCGCCTGGCCGCGCGCGCGCACTCCCTCGCGCTCTCGCTTTGCAGAGAGCGCGAGGGAGTGCGCGCGCCGTCTTTTGTGGGCATCTTTACCTCAGCCTTGCAGCCCCATCGAGGGTCTTCGGAAAAGGCGGGAAAAGGGGAGGGTAACCCTAGAGAAACGAGTCCTTGCAGAATGAATAGAGCGATATAAGAATCTAGCGTGTTCGTTTGATTTATTTTGCTAGAGCAAGCATGGGCAAACTTGGGCTTTCCCTCCAGGTGTTTTGGACTCCAACTCCCACCATTCCTAACAGCCTCAGGCCCGCTTAAGCGGTTGAGGGGGAAAAGGAAAGGGCCTGAGGCTGTTAGGAATTGTGGGAGTTGAAGTCCAAAACACCCTGGAGGGCCCAAGTTCGTCCATGCCTGATCTAGATTATCACACTAGACCCATTACTGCTTTTTGGCTCACAAGGGAACAGCTAAAAACTCTCCCACCTTAACTTCCACCCCCCCCCCCCCGCTCAAAACTTCTAATAGTAGCGGACGTTGGAATATAGGTTTAGTCTGCAATCCCAAAAGGAGAGCGATTCGTCCTGTCCTGCAAACCAAACCTAGGAGTAAACCACGGCACGCGCGTAAAAAAAAAGAACCCGGATCTATGGCTTCAGGCCCGCGGCTCCGACATCTGTCTGTCTCGCGGCGGCTGTTGCTGCGTAAGCGGTCTGGGCGAAGCAGCCATTAGGAGGGTCTTCAAAAGGCCCCTCGCGCGCGCGTCAGAGGCTTTAAATCGATCCAATCCAATGAAGTAATGGGTTCGGGCCCAGGAATGGGAATTGGTTTCGGGCTGCCTCGGCTTCTGCATCATGTTTACAATCCTGGCCATCCCACGAGAGGAACTAAAACCGAAACAAACCAATCAGCAACAAAAATATCCAACATCTCGTCTCTGGAAAGAAAGTTTTTGTGTTACAATCCAGAAGGGGCTCCACCTCAAAGGCTACAATCCTCCGCTTCAGTTCTTATCTTAACAAGCCCAGAGAGGAGTGTGCAATTTACCTATGCAAGCAGCCCTTTTTTCTATCTTTGACTCCTTCCACACAGCCATATAGCCTAAGGCCCTTCTACACAGCTCTATATCCCAGAATATCAAGGCCGAAAATCCCACAATATCTGCTGTGAATTTGGTTATCTGAGTCCACACTGCTGTATAACCCAGTTCAAAGCATGGAAAGTGGGATTTTATTCTGCTGTGTGAAAGGGGCATTGGATAAACATAAAACCAGGGATCAGATCGAACTGGGTTATCTGATTGTAGGGCCCTTCCACACAGCTCTATATCCCAGAACATCAATGCAGAAAATCCCACATTATCTGAGTGTGAGATAACTCAGTTCAAAGCAGATATTGTGGGATTTTCTGCCTTGATATTCTGGGATATAGGGCTGCGTGGAAGGGCCCTCAAGGCAGAAAATCCCACAATATCTGCTGTGAATTTGGTTATCCACACTGCCATATAACCCAGTTCAAAGCAGATAATGTGGGATTTTATTCTGCTGTGTGGAAAGTGCCTTGGATAAACAGAAAACCAGGGATCAGATCCTGGGATATAGGTAGCCCTGCCACACAGCCCTATATCCCAGGATATCAAGGCAGAAAATCCCACATTATCTGAGTGTGGATTCAGATAACCGATATTGTGGGATTTTCTGCCATGATATCCTGGGAGATAGGGCTGTGTGGAAGGGCCCTGGGGCACCTTCCAGCTGTATAAAATCCCACATCATCTGCTTTGAAATTGTTTATATAGCAGTGTGGACTCAGATAACCCAGTTCAAAGCAGACCTTGTGGATTATCTGCCTTGATATTCTGGGTTATAGGGCTGTGTGGAAGGGATGCAGGAGGAAAGAAGCAACTGTGAAACGTGCCTGCAACTTGGGCTGCTGCTATTTGACCTGGCAGGGAATTGGAAGAGGAGGACAGTGGGAGCTTTTCAAGGCTGGGCTCTTCTCTACAAATCAGGACCCTTCCACACAGCCCAGGATATCAAGGTAGAAAATTCCACATTACCTGACTGTGGACTCATAACCCAGTTCAAAGCTGATATTGTGGGATTTTCTGCCTTGATATTCTGAGATAAATAAAGGGCTGCGAGGAAAGCCCCTGAGACCCCTTCCAGCTGTATAAAATCCCACATCTGCTTTGAACTGGTTTATATAGCAGTGTGGACTCAGATAACCCACTTCAAAGCAGGTATTGTGGATTATCTGCCTTGATATTCTGGGTTATAGGGCTGTGTGGAAGGGATGCAGGAGGAAAGAAGCAACTGTGAAACGTGCCTGCAACTTGGGCTGCTGCTATTTGACCTGGCAGGGAATTGGAAGAGGAGGACAGTGGGAGCTTTTCAAGGCTGGGCTCTTCTCTACAAATCAGGACCCTTCCACACAGCCCAGGATATCAAGGTAGAAAATTCCACATTACCTGACTGTGGACTCATAATGAGTCCCACACTCAGATAATGTGGGATTTTGCTTGATATTCTGGGATATAGGGCTGTATGGAAGGGCCCCCCTTCAAAGCAGATATTGTGGGATTTTCTGCCTTGATATCCTGGGATATAGGGCTGTGTGGAAGGGCCCTGGGTTATCTGAATCCACACTCAGATAACGTGGGATTTTCTGCCTTGATTTTCTTGGGTATAGGGCTGTGTGGAAGGGCCCTCGGTCCCCCTCGAAGGGCTCTCCTCCCTCGCGCAGTTCATTTAAAAAGCCCTTGCACTTTGTTGTTCACCCCAATTCACTCGGCCCGTGGTTCAGGGAAAAAGCACCTGCTCAAGAAGGAAGGCCGGGGCGAGCCCTTTTCCGCACGCGCTCCTCCCTGGGCGCATGCGCGTTGGCGCTCTCGTGAGTGGCCACGCGGGTCCCGGGCTCGTGCCCCGAGGCCCTCAGAAGACGCCTCTCGCTCCCTCCCCTCCCCACCCACAGGTGCCACGCCCTTCGGAGGCCCCTCCGCGGCGGATTTCGACGACGGCTTCCTACGTCGCAAGCAGCGCCGGAACAGAACTACCTTCACCCTGCAGCAGGTACTCCCTCCTCCCCTCCCTCCCTCTCTGTCAGTGCCCCTTTCCAGAGCAGGCCGAAGCCTGGCCTTGAGTCGAGCGCGCGCCTGCGGGGATTTGGATGTTGGGAAACCACCCGACCAGCCTTTCCCTCGCATGTGTCAAACTCAAGGTCCGAATCTGAATCGCAGTGCCCTTTTATGTGGTCTCCCAGACGCTGGACTACAATTCCCGCATTCCTCATTAGACATCACAGCTAGTCCTGAAGGGAGTCGTGATACAGCAACATCTGCAAGGCTGCAGTTTGGCCTGTTCAGTCAGGATAGTGGGTTTTGTTGGGCAGGCATCCTCAAACTGTGGCCCTCCAGCAGTTTGGGCCTCCAACTCCCAGAAGCCCTAATGAGCTTATTCAATTGTCAGAAATTCTGGGAGTTGAAGGCCCAAACAGCTGGAGGGCCGCAGTTTGAGGACTCCTGTTGTTGGTGAATCAGAGCAGTTAGGCTCAAAGACAACACCCGGTTGGGGCGATTCCACCATAAATATAGCAGAGTACCAGAAGTAAACTTCATAACCAGCAGAAACTTAAATGTGATGAGCTGGGATAAGCTTCTCTTCCTCAAGATGGCACAGGATTGCAGAGTCAGAGATTTAGGTTCAAAAATATTTATTGAAGTAAAAGGAGTACATTCTAGATAGAAAAGGTCTTAGAGCTCACTAGCATAATGAATCTCATCTTCTGAAGAAGGTAGAAGGATAAAAAGTCTAAAAGTCAATGCAGCTATATTTTGCCTAAAGAGAGAGGTAAAATGTGTCCTCACTGGAAGGAAGAAGAAGCAGAAGAGACAAGGAGAATGGCCACATGGCTAGCCCAGGGCCATAAAAATATGTTTAAAAAGGAAGTTGTCTCACAGAGATTTCATTGCTACATCTTCAAAGGGGGAGAAGACAATGGCGAGGAGGAGGAAAGACAGAGCCCTTTCAGGAACATGCATACGGATGTGGGGGAGCAATCCCTCAGCCTTGTACTATCTCCAGCTACTCATTGAGCACCAAACACTGTAGAAAAATTAGTTGGCCTACTGTACCCACAGATTCAAATTACAGGAAAGGAGTTTCCACTTGACTATTAGGACAGTAGGAGCCACTCAACAGTGGAGCTCTCTGCTTCAGTTGAGGAAGCTCCTACCTTGGAAACTTTTAAACAGAAGCTAGATGGCCATCTGTCAGGAATACTTTGTGCTTTTCCTTCATGGCAGGGGGTAAGATTAGTTTTTTTTTCCATGTCAGGAATGCCTTGAAAACTGCAAGTTGCTTCTGGTATGAGAGAATTGGCTGTCTGCAAGGACATTGCGCAGGAGACGCCTGGATGTTTAATGTTTACCATCCTTGTGGGAAGCTCCTCTCATGTCCCTGTATGGGGAGTGGAGCTGAATACAGAGAGCTCAGTCTGCTCTCCGCATTCAAACAGCAGACCTTTAGGTCAGCAGTCCTGCCAGCACAAAGGTTTAACCCATTATCCCAGGGGGGGGGGGGGTCCAGATTGCAGTAGTGATCTCTTCCAACTCTTTGATTCGATTACTCTGTCCATGGATACAACAGCCTTTTGATGTGGCCCTCAACGAAAAAGGGTTTGACACCCCTATTTTAGGTGAACTGTATCGTTTCCTTCTGTTGGACAAAAGCTCTGAAAAGATTTCTTAGGTTTCAAATCAGTCCCAACCCTCATGCTTCCCTCCTCTCACTGATGTAACTTCTTGTCTTTCACTAGCTGGAAGCTCTAGAAACCGTTTTTGCGCAAACTCACTATCCAGATGTGTTCACTCGAGAGGAGCTAGCCATGAAAATCAACCTTACTGAAGCTCGAGTCCAGGTAAACAATAATTTGCCCTAGCAAGAGAAATGCTTTTGATCAGCAGCATCTCTCTCTCTCCTCCCCCCCCCCCCCCCGCTTTTTCTCTCCCCACTCGGTGCTTTTTGACATCATTCAATTCACTGGGTACTGCCTGTGAGGAGGACCCATTTGCACATTTGGCCAAAGAAAGCAAATGAAGCCAATCTGTCATTTTCATGATGCACTTTAATAACATCAACATAATGTGGAATATTAGATTAGGTTGATTAATCGGTCATTCATAATTAACCAGTGATAATGTTCTACACTAATTTGTCCGTGTCTCTAAGGTACTAAATTACATCAATGCACATCCATTTCCTGCCTTTGAAGGGGGGAGGGGGAAGGGTGGGGATGCTGAGAATGGATGAGACTCTCCCAGCCAGCTCCCATCTTCTGCAAAATTGCTGCCCAATGAAATTGACTACCTCAGAACAGGGGCCAACGCTCCTCTCCGGCACTATGCAAACCTCACTGAAGTGAATGGATCCACTTTCCTTGGGGGAAATTTCTAATGCTTTTACCTACAGAGATACAAAGAACAACATTTGGATCCTTAAGAAGTTATCTTGATTTACTTTGCAGGGTTTTGGACAGTGTGTGCAAAGGCTGTTAATGAGATAAGAAGCAAACTGGAATGTATAACTTACGTTATTGTATTAAAAACTAGAAAAGTTTAGTGAGCAGCTTTTAAACAGTACTTGGGGCTGCATTTTGCATTACTTTAGTGTACCATTAATGTGATTCCCCTCAGCTGTTTATGGGCATGAGTACTTGGTATATCAGAAAGCAATTGATTTTAAAGGTCTTAGTTTTGTCCTTGCAGCCTATTCCCTTCTGTTCCAGTTGAACTGGAAATTGGAACCATTCACCCGATTGAATGGCCACAGGGCTGCCTTAAGGATCACAGCTTTTATGATATGCGGATAGAGTTGAAACTCTGGGGGAGTGCTGCTGCAGTGCCCATTCCTCAGTGCTTAGCTTCTTTCCCCATTCACTGGGTCTGATGATTCAGGTGCAGCTGAGAGGCAGCAACATGTAAAGAAAGTCCTGTTTTTTTTTAAAAGACTTATTCTTATACCTACTTACATTGGGCACTACTGTCACTATTTCAGCTTTAGCATATGCTCACAAGCTATGTTATGATGTGCAATTTTCAGAAATCAGAATGAGTAAATATCTATGCAGAGGGAACATATTTTCCTATTTCTCTCACTGAAATCATCAAAGAATCCCTACCCTGGGTTGCTGTGAGTTTTCCAGGCTGTATGGCCATGCTCCAGAAGCATTATCTCCTGACATTTCACCCACATCTATGGCAGGTATCAGAGGTTGTGAGGTCTGTTGGAGACTAGGCAAGTGAGGTTTATACTGTATATCTGTGGAATGTCCAGGGTGGGAGAAAGAACTCTTGTCTATTTGAGGCAAGTGTGAATGTTGCAATTGATCATCATGATTAGTATTGAATAGCCTTGCAGCTTCAAAGCTTGTCTGCTTCCTGCCTGGGGAATCCTTTGTTGGGAGGTGATTAGCTGGCCCTGATTGATTCTTGTCTGGAATTCCCCTGTTTTTGATTGTTATTCTTTACTTACTGTCCTGATTTTAGAGTTTTTCAATACTGGTTGCCAGATTTTTTTTCATTTTCATAGTTTCTTCTTTTCTGTTGAAATTGGATTTCAGTGGCTTCTCTGTGTAGTCTGACATGGTGGTTGTTAGAGTGGTTCAGCATTTCTGTGTTACCAAATAATATGCTGTGTCCAGGTTGGTTCATCAAGGAGAGAATGCTTCTGGAACATGGCCATGCAGCCTGGAAAACTCACAGCAACAAAGTGCTGTGACAACACATTAATCCCCCATCTTCCTACTTTCTGTTCATGGAAGAGATCCTTCTCTCTTTGATGGATAGAATTTCCCTGGCTGTCTTTAAAGTACAGCCAGTCCTCCTACTTCAATGTATCTTTAAATGCTCCCTCAGTAAGTAGAGAGTATGTTAAGGGTTTATTTGTGAGAACAAAATTCAAAAGCACAAACCAGGTGCTGGGTGTTACTGCCCAATACATACTCTGCATAGCAATAACAGTCAACCTTCCTCCCAGCTCGCGTGTGTTATTTATGGGGCTTTTCTTGCCTGCTGTTTCTGTCTTCTTTTTATGTAGGTGCTCAGGGTTAAGACTATGCAAAAATCTAATTGTAGAAAATGCTTCCCCACTTCCCCGGTCATGTTAGTATCTCTTAAAACCCAATGGCCACGGAAAGATAATGGAATTCGCTGCAGTAAATTGGAGATTGTAAACAAATTATTTCTTCCATAATCAGATTATGCAACCTTGATTATTAAATCTGAACATGAATCATTGGTCATGTGCAGGGAAATTAAACTGGTTATTATTATTTGGACATTCAAATCTCCCTTTTGCCAGTACAGTGGAGGTGATGGCTTGGGGTTTCCCTCCCACCATTTTAGCAATTGGTGCCTAAAGACTGCACTGCAAATTGAGATAAATGGGACAATTATTGAGCATTGAGAAGTGGAAGATCATAACTTCTCCCTGAAAGGTGCAAGGGTGAGATAGGGGTGGTAACAATTAGAGTGTTTAGCCTTGTTGTGGGCTATTGTGCAAGCAGACAATAGATGCTAAGGTTTGCTTTCATGCTGGGACATGGGGAAATAGGGGAAGGGAATCATGTTTACATTTCTGCCCCTTGCTCATTCAAATATGATTAATGTGGTGGGAAGACACATCTTAATCGAAGATGATGTTGTCAAACAAAAACTAAATAGGGAAATAAACGACTTCATCAGGCTCTTTCTTCAGAAGCTGGCATACTGTCATTGCAAAGTCATTAAAATATGATAATGAAAAATAGCTCAATTAAATGTTGTTATAGCTGTGACCTTCATTCAATTAAGATACAAGGAAGTGTCTGCAATTGGCTTTGCATTTAGCTCTACTAAATTTAGAATGCAGATAAAATCACCATTCAGCCTTTGCTGATACATTCAATTAAACGCATGCTAAACAAAAATGGAACAATAATACAAACAACAATACACAGCATACTATAATCTTTTAAACTGTGTATTTTTTATCAATAGCCACAAGCCAGATTATCTATAACCATAATAACATCTTTGACACGGTTAAGCCAAAGTAGTTCTATTTAAAATAATGGACAGCCCAGTCATGTTCTAATTTGCTTCTAGTCAGAGAAAATCCTGGTATTGGGACATAGTAGAATTGTGGATTCATTCATTGCAACCCAATTAAATTAAAGTATTTGGGATTTAGTTGCCTTATTCGACTAATGTGAATGGGGCTGAACATGTTCAAATTGAAACCATTATAAACTCGGTTCTGAGATAGAATAAATTCCCAAGGCCACACAAATTAATAGAATTGTTGCGAATAATGGAAAGGATTGTTCCATAAACTGCAGCAACATATGAATGTAACTGGCATACAAAGTTTTAGACTATAAATTCAATTGATAAAGGAAACATTTCAATTTGATACATTGTGGTAAAGCCTTACTGTGATCATGTTTATATTCTTGTAAATTAAAGAGAACATATTTATTGACATATTTTCTGAAATCTATATTTTAGTAGAGGAATGGCTGTTTCCACTCTTGCAAGAATAATGGTCTCTGCCGTGTTCTTTCTCCTGCAGATTGTTATCTAACAAGTGCATAGAAAATGTTAGCATGAAATAAGGAATTGTGGAATCTTCTAGTTCTAGAGCTTAATATCTAACATGAAAAATCTAGAACTTGCTCCTAACTTAGGAGTCTGTCCCATTTATTCAGAGAGGAAAATAGAAAATCGTAATTCATGTTATTGACTCAGAGGTAGCAATGGTTGTAAACTTTGGTATTTTAGTGGTATGTGTGGATTCTAGCATCACAAGAGAGGTAGAATAGAAATGAAATATTTAATAAACAAATTGTCAAAATCTGATTGAATGTGAGAAAAACTATTCATTCATTCAGGAACACTTTTTAAAGGCAATTTGAAAATAAAAGACTTAGCTAATGCACATTAGAAAAGGCATAATGGAAAGGAATTGCATTTTGAAGTCGTACATGAAGCAAGTAAAGGTAGAAAAATAAAGGTGAGCATTTTTTTTGTATCTGTAGGATTAAATCCATGATCTCGGTATTAATAGCACCACAGTTTAAACCTAGGGCTCACAAACTTCTTCTCTTCAGAACTTTTTTATGAGAACTGGAACTGACTGATATCTATGTGTCTTAAAATGATACTGCAGACATCCAGTCACGAAATGATGTAAAGGTGGCGTTCAGATGGCAGAACTAATATAATTTTATATTACTATCTAATTCACCACAAGGAGTGGCTAAACTTTTTGCCACAGAGTTTCATATCACATCTCTCCTCATATGTAAGATCAGACAGATTGAGGACAAGTACTGAGTTTACCAAATTTCATCAGTCTTGTACACTCTCTCCTTAGATTTCAGGTAAGTTATGTGTAAACATTTGAAAAAAATACCTTAGATAGTGGTTCTCAACCTGTGGGTTACCAGATGTTTTGGCCTTCAACTCCCAGAAATGCTAATAGCTGCTAAACTGGCTGGGATTCTGGGAGTTGTAGACCAAAACACATGGGGACGCACAGGTTGAGAAGCACTGCTAGACAATATATTATATGTAGATACAAATACGTCAACAATGTACTAGGAATACCACCATGTTAAGCACTGAGGTTTGTCAATTTAAGCATTTGAAAGGGGGAACAGAAGTGAACATGAGATTATTTCTTCAATTTTTGTCTTGTACCATCTCCTTTGGGGATATTTCAATGCTTGTCAGAAGAAAAACACATATTTTTTTTAAAAGGCTGAACATGCGGTATGCTTGTGGAATAATTTAGTATCTGCATTAAGACACTGCACAGAGAAATCAACCACTAACCTTGTCAAGTAATTTCAATTTTCTTTGAGCAGTACCCTTAATCTATATGGACAAAAAACCAAACAAATTATTGGGAGTCTCTTTTCAAATTTGTATCAATATTCTGTTTCTTACCATTTATCACTCAGAATTCTTCACAACTATCCTCAGAATGGGCAAAATGTAAGTCAGGAACAGTTTGCAAATTAATTTGCTTAATTCTTGATTCGTTAGATTTCCCCCCTAACGTGACTGAATCCCATGGATTTCCTGATTAACAGTGAAGTTAATGCTATACTTTAAATAATCAATTTTGGTTGTTAAAATTTATTAAAGGTTGATGACGTTCTCTCAGGGCACTTCTACACAGACACTGTAATCAAGCTTGGAACTGGTTGAAAAGGAACTGGTTTTGCTGCATAGATTGTCAGATGGCAATGCCTGGAACTGGTTTGAGCCTGGGAAAGTGATTACATTTACCATGAAACCTGGCCTCAAACCATTGTCCACCCCCCACCCCCACCTTTCTGTAGAAATGCATATCAGTATACCAGAGGCATAAGGGGGTGAAATAATGGAGGGAAAATGACTATTGAGGGCAGAAATACTCGGTGACCCCTCTAGGGGGTTAATTAATCCCCTGCTGCCCAGCTATGGCTTTGTGTTCTTAAATACTTTTTTTACTGTGCTTCAACAGAGACAGGGAGCTACAATGTGCTCCAAATTTTGCAAAGCTGATTAATCTGGGATACCCTGGCATCTGTTACAGCACATTTTTTGTCAGAATTCACACTCTCCTGGGATGTTTTGAAAAGCACTGCATCATCTTTAATGCACATTGCAGCATGCATTGGTGGCATACGTTATGTGGCTACTGCAGACCAAGTTGGTGTCCAATTGTGCTATATGATCAGTATAGAAACACCCTCATTTTCTCTGCCAGAGTCAGTGGATGGTTCTACACAGGCACATAATGCAGCTCCAACAGGCATGAAAACTACAATTTTGGAGATTCATTATGCCTAGATCGGGGTTCTGTTAAGGTTTTAGCTTGGCTGGGAATGGGGCAGAATTCTAACCCCGCCCAGTGCCTGAATCCTGTCCCCATCAAAAGGCAGAGGCCCCTTCTCCACAGCTCTATAAAATCCACATTGAACTGGATTATGTGGCAATGTGTACTCAAACATTCCAGTTCAAAGCAGATCTTGTGGATTATCTGCCTTGATATTCTGGGTTATATGGCTGTGTGGAAGTGCCCAGAAAGTCACTACACAGCAAAGCTTTGTGCTCTCTACTTCCTAGTTTACTGCCATGTGACTGAGCTGAGCATCTTGAGAAGAGCAGAGGGACCTCCCATCTCCCAAGTTGCTTTGTTCAGTCAGATGGGACATGCCAAGAAGTAAAGACCATGGAGCTCTGATAAGCAGTGATTTTGTCTTGGGGAGGGGGATTGGTTGCAGTGGGGATGGGGGGGGCAGCCACCCCACCTCCCCAGGCTGCCTGAGAGCATGCAATAACCGTGGTAACATTCCTGAATTCTGCATAGGAATCCAGGATGGTTGTCCCTACTGTCCCAACATACAGGAAAGTCCAAGATCTGTGTTTTTTTAAAAATGAGGACTGCAGATGCAGTAAACAGCTTACCCCAGGTTAACTCGCACCAGCCTTCATGCATTTTGTGGATGCACACAGGCTAATGCGACTCTATACAGCATTATATGCTAGTCTAAAACTCCCCAGTGAAACAGGAAAACACCAGGAAAAAAGGATTAGCATTCAAGAAAACACAGCATATGTTTCCGTGGTGGCTTGATTATGCCAATGAAATAAGAAAATGGCAGGGCTTTCTTGGAATAGCATGGGTGGAGAATTTGTTTGTTCAGCAAGAGGTCTTCAAGTGGTACGAGCCTTTTGGTTTGTTTCATTTTGTCTTTGTCCTAGCTTTAGGATTCAAAGTGATGTATACAAGGTAAACAAATACAGCTTAAAATTCATGGAACTAAACATACAAAAAATATAGTTAAACAATAGAAAGTCAGCCAACATTCAGTCTACTGGATTCAAGAGGGAAGAGAAGGAAGGTTGCAAGTCTTTTTGTGATGAACTATGACCCCCTTTAACTCTTTAATGTGTTTATTGTTTATAAATTACAGGGCACTTGGGCAACTGAAGTCTCAGGCCCCTTCTACACAGCTGAATAAAATCCCACATTTTCTGATCTGAAGTGGAATATATGGCAGTGTGGACTCAGATATCCCAGTTCAAAGCAGATATTGTGGAATTTCCCGCCTTGATATGCTGGGTTATATAACTGTGTGGAAGAGCCCTCAGGTGCACACCAAATGACTCTGTTCAGTATCCTGTTTCTTCAACTGGGCTAATGAAATGTATCTATGGCAAACCCACAATTAAGATTAAAAACCAATAGTTCTCTCCTTTAGTATTACAGTTATTAATATTCAATAATATAATACTGGAGGTCTTATAATAAAGATCCAGGCCTGTATAAAGGATGCATTGGTATCACATAACTTGAATCAGAATTACTTTTTACAGAGTTATTATATTGTTCAATATAAAGTACCCTCAACATTATTATTTTTTGTTTAAATAGTGACACAACGTACATTTTAGTTTTATATAGTAATGGTATTGGAACCTCTATTATATTTTAGGCTATTAAAAAGTCTTTAACATTTTGTCTAATGTTTCAAGGTGCTCACATTGGGCAAGCTGCCACTGTTTATGAGAGATACAAAACTTTTTAAAAAATGCATATATGTTGCATAAATCTATAGGAGTTATGTGTACATTAATACAAATCATGTGCTTCCTTGCATAAGGTCTTTAAAATAATATTTATTAGATTATCTAAGTAGAATATAACAGTTCACATTAACATTACAGAAAGAAAAAAGGAAAGAGATACACCCTTCTGGTGTAATCTATCTTAATCTTTCCATTTCTATACTTGTCTACTACTTATATCTATCTGTTTTTCCCCTTGCCTCTCTCATGCAATCCCTCCTTCCGGGAACAGTTGTACCTCTCTTTTAAATATTATTTTATTTGTTTGATCATTAAGATTGTCTGTTTGAGTTCCTTGTATTTTCTTTTCCCCTTTACTCTGACTGTCAGCTCTTTTCATTTTGAGTAACAGTTCTCCTTAGCATATCCATTCCTATGTTTAGTTCTCTTTTCAGTAATATAGTCCTGTAGCGTACAGGACCATTTTTTTGTACCATTTTTTATTTCCCATTTTCTGTGCTCTTAGCAACGCTGGGCAATGCTTGCCTGAGAAAGGAAGAAAGGAAAGCCCTATCTACACTCACCATTTAATATGGCTCCAAGCTAACTTGAAACTGTGGCAGCCACAAAATGCACTATGGATTAAAAGAGTATATGATGTATTGAAGATATTCACAGTCCAAGTGAAACCGTTTAATGTGGTGCAGCGGATCCTAATATATCCCAGGGCAAACTCAGCTCCACAGAATGCAGAACATGTGGCAGATGCCCACCTTTGCCAATATGCTTTGTAAAATTTAGAACATGGACTGCTGAAAAGGGGTACTGAAAAATACCTCAAGGGCCTGGCTGGTTAGTAAGGGGCCAATTGACCCCCTGGCAGGAATAATTACCACCATCCCTAACTCATTTCCCCCCTTTTCCCCATCTCCCATGCCTTTGGAATGTTGGTGTGCATAAATGGGGGAGGGGGGGGGAATCCCACAAAGTGATCTGAGGCCAGGTTCCATATGTAATCTGTCCTGGCCTTAAACTATTTTCAGATTTATCAGTCTAGTCACCTGCACAATGAAAGTGGTTATTTCCCAAACAGTTCCAATCTGCTTTATAGTGTCAGTGTAGAAGGGCCCAAAAAAGAAAGATTGGAACACAGTTTAGTTTCCACGTGTAGAAAATGATGCTTTCTTATGGTTTCAAGGATATCATAGAATTGATGCACCAAGGGAAAGAAGGGAACATATACACACATAATGAATCTTTTATGTTGAAGCAAAGCGGTCCATTGACACTCTTCTTCCTAATTCAGGTCTGGTTCCAGAACAGAAGGGCTAAATGGAGAAAAACTGAAAGAGGGGCATCTGAGCAGGAAGGGCCTAAGGAGGCAATGGCTGAAGTTACCCCTCCTGGATTGAATTTAAATTCTCCTTCTCCAGTTGATCAAACAAAGAATAAGAAGGAGAGTTTGGAGATTCAACAAAGGTGAGCTGTTGGGATAAGACAGTTTATACAGAGCAGTTTGTGAAGGGATTGAAATCCACATAAACAGGCAAGGTTTTTTTTGGTGGGGTCGGGGGGGGGGGCACAATTTGTAGAGACTATAATTGATAATTCAGAAGTGATTGATGCCGATCAGTCTCACACCATTATTATAAAACTGAATAACTGGCCCTTCCACACAGCCATATAAACCATAATGTCAAGGCAGATAATCTACAGCATATGCTTTGAACTGGGTTATAAGAGTCCACACTGCCATGTAATTCAGTTCAATGTGGATTCTATATAGCAGTGTGGAAGGGGCCTACATGAGAAAAAAAAACCTTTCCCTTAAAGAACTTTACTAATGGGCCAGAATGTAACATAAGTGTTTGCTTACTGTCCCCCCCCCCCTTCAGCCTGAACAGAGCGGTTGCCCCTTCTGGTCCCTTTTTCTCATCATGCCTACCAGGAACTCTTCTAAACACAACTACTTATGCCCAAGCACTGTCACAAGTTGCATCGCTTAAAGGTAAGGAACTCATTTGTTGACCATTGTCTTGGGCAGCAGTAGAGGGTTACATTCAGTGGTTTTATTATTTCCATTTTGGAGCCAAATATGAGCTAGGGGTGGCTAGAAATATTTGGCATGGTGGTGAAACTGGTACTATTTAAATATATTTTTTCCGTTTTGGTTTTATGATTAAATTTAGCTGGATTTTGCTGTAGTCCTACAGGAATTAGAACAGTGAAAACAATGCTATATAGTAGGCCCACTGCACAGGGGGTCTGTTCCAAGATCCTACACATAATCAGATTTTCATTTAATATCTGAAACCTTTCCCATTGGTCAGGATGCTACTTAAAGTTGAAAACACTGTACAATTAAAATACCACCTTCCTCCTGCACTCACTTGCTGCCCTTTGGACAGGAGAGTAGTCGAAGGTTCACTTGCTGGGGTGCAGTTTGTCCGCATCGAGCTTTGAAAGCAAACCCCTTCCCTGGGTGCCAAATCAGGGTGGCTTACAAAAGGCAGCCATTAGATGCCAGCTGTATACAAGTAAAATATCACAATTAAAACATCAACTAAAACACTTATGTACATTCAATTTAAGACAGTCCACCATACATCTTTCTCCAACAAGAAAGGAGCCTCTCTCTTTTCCCTGCATGGAAAAGCAATCCTGGTCTGGCTATGCTTTGGTCCTCTAAGAAAGGAGTCCATCTCTTTCCTCTTTAGAGAAGTAACCAAAGCGCAACAGTGTTTCTGTGCACGGAGTAAGGAGTCAGACTATTTTTTTCAGTGAACAGAAACAAGTGAAGCTTGCCTGTGTTTCTGTCTGCCAAGAAAGGAGACAGACTTCTATTTCTGAGGAGAAAAATGCATATGGATTCTGTCACTTCTTTCTGCAGAGGAAAGAGATAGATTTTTTTTTTCTTGGCAGAGAAAGGTGTATGGCAATTGAGAGGTAGCTGCTTTCAGGAACTAAGCACAGTCGGCTTGGTCCCACATTACTGTCATCTTTGTCCTTGGAAGGGATCTTCATGTATAACTGAAACTGCATAACATGGCTGCACATAAGCATGGGCCCACTGTACTTCTGCATGACTAAACACAGGCTTGTGCTAATACCAGGGCCAATTAAGTATCCAAACACATCTGCAGCCTTAGAGGTCAAGTTAAACAGTTAAACTTGGACTGAAAAACAGACAGTCATGTTAAGTCATAATATCATTTTGTGTGTGATTTCAGGCCCAGGCACACATTGCCTGGGCCTGAAATCCACAACTTTCATATAAACCACCCTGGAAAGGTGGGAGAAGCGTAGTAGTATATAAAAATGTCAACAAAATAAATAATTCCTTGGCAAACCACTGATTTCTGCCACTTTCTTTTCTAAACAGACCTATGCTGTTGCCAAACCACCCAGTTCATTTTCAGAGCTTGTTCTACCTAATTAATACAATTCTATGATATATGCCATTTCTCTTTATCTTCATTCCCCCCTCTTTTCATAGAAATATAGATCACAAGGGCTATCAGTCCAATCTCTTGTCATGCAGGGAAATATAAGCACAGTGCTCTCTACAGATGGCCATCTAGCCAATGCTTATAAACCTACAGAGGAGACTCCATCACACTCCCAAGGCAGCATATTCCATTGCCAAGCAGCTCTTACTGTCAGGAAGTTCCTCTTAATGTTTAGGTGGAATCTTTTTTATTGCAATTTGAATCCATTGCTGGATGCCCTAGTCTCCAGATCCACAGAAAACAAGCTTGCCCTTCCCTCAATATGACATATTTAAATGTGGCTATCATTTCCCCTCTTATCATTCTTTTTTTTCTGAGCTAAACATACCCAATTCTCTAAGATGCCCCTCATAGTGTTTGGTTTCCAGATCTTTAATCATTTTGGTCACTTTTCTCTAATCTGTTAAGGTCAATTTGGATTCTGATCTTTTGTTTTTTTTGGAATATTCACTGTCCTCCCAATTTAGTGTCATCCACAAATTTCATAAGCATGCCCTCTATTCCATTGTCCAAGTAATTGATGTTGAATAGCACTGGATCCAGGACAGACCCTGTGGCACCCCACTAGTCACTTTTCTCCAAGATGAGGCTGAACCATAAGCACCTTTGGTACCTGTTTACCAATTCCTAATACATGTAACTTCTTAAACATTTTACATTCATGACCCACTTTCCACGAATCAAACATTTACTGATAATAAATCAGCATATGCAAGGCTTACTAAACAGACTGTTCTCGCCTCCTCCTCCTGGAGTACAGCTGGAACATGTTCTGTAGAGTCCAAAGAAACATATTGCACAAACAGGTTCTGTGTTTGAAGGTTTATATCCTCATTATAAAGCGGGGTCTGGATTTTTCTTAGTTTGCTGCCTGTTAATTCTGTAGTTTGCAGTGATTTTGTTCCTGAAAAAAACCTTGATGCTTATGTATTTTACCTGATGGCTTTAATTTGTCATTGCATACCAACAAAACGATGGAAATTACTTTAAAGAAGTAATTATAATTCTATTTCCAAGGCCCTCACATGTAGGTCTTACTGCCAAAGCTTTGAAAATTTGCGTTCCCATCTTGTAAAAAAAACAAAACCAAAACATACCATGCCTTGCAAAATCATTGTACTAAGATATTTTTTTTAAAAAAGTGTGTTGCAACCTAGGGTTGAAAAGAATATCATTGAGATTATTATCCTATTTAAATGAGGTTGATATGTTAGTATTAAACTCACTGAGTCAGTACTTTATAAAAGTACTTTGGCTGCAGTTACAATTGTAAGACTACTTGGACAATTCTTTATTAACTTTGTGCATTTAGATGCTTTTGTCCATTTTTCTTGGCAAAATTGCTGTAGCTCTTTTCAAGTTGGTGAATAGCCACTTTCAAGTCTTGTCACATAATCACAGCGAGAGTTTTGGATTTTGACTGGGCCATTTGGGCTCTTCTTTTTAAACCATGCCAGTGTTACTTTGGCTGTATATTTAGGGTTACTAACCTTGCTATCTTGTAGCCTGAACCAGATTTTCCTCTAGAATTGTTCTATGTGTGGCATCATCTGTGTTGCCCTCAGCCCTGAGCAGATTTCCAGTGCTTGATGAATAAAAGAGATTGGAGTATTTTATGTTTTTCTGAATGGCAGGTGATTGGACTAAATTGCCTTTGCTCTCCCTCCCAAGTCTATTTCTGCCTCCACAACATGATGATGCCATTATGGTTACTAGTCAAGAGGATGGTATTATGCCACAGGCACCATTTTGTCACAAGGTGATGAGTTTATATGCCTTTTTGCAAATTCCAAATGAGAGTTAATGTGGGGTTTGTTTTATCAATTGATTTTTCTCACTGCTGTGCCATAAAGACCAGGTTTGTGGAGTGACAGTTGTCCCTTGGGGCACATCTACACTCACCACTTAACATGGATTGAAGGCATCTCAGATATGTGGTGTTTTAACAGTGCACAGTGTGAATGGGTGCAGGAATGTGCATTAGATGCCTTAAACCAAAATAAGCAAAATCATGTGATACTCTGAAATAGAGCACATAGAGTGCATCAGTGCCTGTAAATCACATTGCATGGTGAAATTGATTAAGGGATGGTGCTCTGGTGATCTGCACACGTACATAGGGGCTTCGGCCTTGGAGGAAAAAAAATCCTCCCTACTCATGAATACTGGAACCGGGTTGGAGCTGAATTCTCTGTTGCATATAAGCACCACTTAGGTCTCGACCTGGATCCTATGCTTGACGTATAATTAGGTGCATGTTCAGCTCACTTCCTCCTCTTCCTTCATTATTTTGCTAGTGGTAGATGTGTCCGTGGACACTTTCAGTTTAGCTGAATATTTCTCCAGCTTCTTCATAACTACTATTGCCATCTGGGTTGCTTTTATGATTAATGACCTCCTTACCTACCTGCTTAATTTTGCCGTCTTTAGGAAGAGTTGTGATGGAGCCATGTTATTTACATTTAATAATCATTGATTTAACAGTGCCCCAGTGAATGTTCATAGTCTGGGATATCTTTGAATTACAGTATTTTGACTAGTGCTTCAACACCACTTCATCCTGGACTAATATTAAATAGTAGGGCTGGGTAACCACGGAAAAATTTGTTTCTAAACTCGATTCGTTTTTAGGGGGTTTTTGTGTTTCGTTTTTTAAAAGAATTTTGAAATTTTTCTTTAAAAAAGTTCGAAATATACAAAATTTCGTAAATTACAAAACAATTACGAATCGATTCGTTAATGGCGGACACGACTGCTCAATACGCTAAAAAACCCTCCAAATGGGACAGGGGGAACTTCTGAAGCTTCCCTCTCCCTCTGTTTTTGACTGTTGGTGTGATAATTATATTTTTTTTCACTGATAAAACAAACAACAACTATAAAACTTGCACCAGACATACAGAAATAATAACGAAACAATTTCGAAACGATTTCGAAACGATTTCGAACCAATTACGAAACAATTACGAAATAAATTGAAAAATTCGTTTCGATTTTTAGTTGCTCCTGCATGGCTCAATATCGGATCGTAAGCTAATTTAAATACGAATCAATAACGAATTACGAAATTAACGAACGAAACCGCCCAGCCCTATTAAATAGATTGTGGCCCTCATGATACTGAAGGCAGTTGGTTCACCAGAGCTTATTTAGATGTGTCGCAGCAAAAAGTGTGAATACCTACGTAACTAATAAATGACAGTTTGTTTTTGTATGCTTAACCTTTGTGCCACAATAAATTATTTCACTTTTTCACAGTTTGTGAGTATCTAGTTCACATCAGGTTATAACAATTCCAAGTGAAACTATTTAAATTCTAGATTATGACACAAAATGTGGAAAAGTCAGATGTGTATGTGAATGATTCTGCAAGATATTGTAGGTACTTTTTAGTTACTATAAAAAAATCTGAAAAATTCAGGTCACTGATTTGTATCCTAATGGATCTTCTGGAGAAAATAATCAGGATTGCAAATGATTGTTCTTAAAATGCTCCATT